CCCGCGTGAGCCTATGAAAAGTAATAACTGTGGGAACTGGCAAGTTGATGTCGGTGCCTGCCCGCCTGCCTGCCTGCCCGCCTGCTCATCATCGGCGTCGGCATCGACATCGACATCGGCATCGACTCAGCAGCTCGTTCGCGCTTCATTGCCGTTTTATTGGTTGGAAATAAGTTAATAACATGGATGACGCCGACAGAGGTAGACTCCGATATCCTTTTGCTTCGCTTCTACTGCTGCTGCTGCTGCGGCATAACAATGCAACAATATTGCCTCACAGCTTCACAGTGCCTCAGCTTCACTGATCAAAAGCTTCACTGATCCACAGCTCCACAGCTTCACAGCCTCACAGCTGTAGAGTTCGAAGGAGGCTGCTTCTTCTTTTGCTTTAAGCAGCGGAAGCCCGTTTTCAGCAGCTAAGCCAAACAGGCAAAGTAAATCATCATAACCACCTACCATCCGCAGCTCAGTTGCGAGCTTCAGTTGCCGCTTCTGCTTTTGCTTTTGCTTTCATCTTCAACTGGAGCCCGATCCGCACCTTTAGCTCCTTTGGGCTCCAATGGGCTGGTTAGGCGGTGGCGGTCCCTGGTTACCGATGATAGAGCAGCGCCAAACTTCTACCGCAGCCGCCGCCGCCGCCGCTTCAGGGTGATTCTGGGTCCGAGGATGGGGGCCGCCGCCGCCGCCGTCGCGGACGCCACAGACGCCGACACCGCCGATAATAATGAAGGTGTTGGCGATGATGATGCTGATGACGCGAATGAACCGCAGCCAAACGCTGCTATTGCTCCTCCCCCCCCGGGGTCCTGCTTCGGAGCCTGCATCGCTGCTCGAATTCGCCAGTTGGAGCTCCATTCAGGCTGAGGCGCCCACGGAATGCGCTACCACTAACAGACACCAAGGGGATACAAGTCGGAGCGCGGCAATTGTGAATAAATATTTATACAAAATTTACTCGTCTGGGTCTGGGTCTGGGTCTGGGCTCGGCTCCGTGTGTAGGGCATTCCTTGGGGCTGTGCGACTGGCGCCGGATCACGATGCGCCGCTAAATGGGATCAGTTTTGGTAACGAGTTAACGAGTTGATTTCACTCCAGCGATTGCCAGCTAGGCCGGGCCACAAACCCGAACCGGATTATCAGTTTGTTGTGTGCATCGTACCCCTATCCATCCTCCATCCACTCCATCCACCATCCACCATCCTCCATTCCCATCATTGTCTGCGTTTTCGTTTGCGTTTGCGTTTGCGTCTCTGTCTGTGCGGTGGCCATGGCCAATGTCTACACAACAAGGTGACGGCTTATAATGACGGACCATGGCCAAGAACGTGAGCATGGCGATGGGATGTGCTTTGCTGGGAGGGCCGAGGATGGAGGATCGAATCGAATCGAGCTGAAGTTGAGGCGTTTGCACCTCCCATGGCAGCTCCAACTCCAGCCACAGCCACAGCCACTGCCACAGCCACTGCCACAGCTACAGCTACAGCTGCAACTTCAGCTTCAGCTCACTTTTGTGGCCTGTTCCTTTGATGCTCGCTCCGTTTTTCGGGTGTTTTTTTTTTTTTTTTTTTTTTTGTCGAGGGGCGTTACCCAGTGATCATCACGCGTTTGCGCTCTCCTCTGTCTCCTCTTAATGGGTGTTATTTTGTTTGGCAGTAAATATTTTTGCAATGGGCGCTAATTAAGTTTGGCTCTTTCGGGGCTCCGATCCGCTGCATCCTTCGCACTTTGTTATGTGTGAAACTTTTAAATTTCGTTCGGTCGGCAAACATGAAAACCGCCGCAAAGTCCTACGTATTTCAGTGACTGCCGCCGCTTCGCCGCGCCGTATCCTCTTCCCCGCCAAATTGCCGGGCACCACACAGCAGCAGCACCCAAACAGAGTCAAACAGCCAAGTAGCCCGGCAGCCCGGCAGCCAGACAGAATCAATATTGGTGAGCTATTAATCTGGCGCTGCAGTTGGGAAATGGCAAATTGCCACCACGCCACGTGGTACGCGGCTATAAACGAACTCTATGAGCGCGACGGCGACGGCGGCGGCAGTGACAGTGGCAGCAGCAGCGTAGAGAGTCTCTCTCCTGCCCGAGGCACGCTGATGACTTATCCAAGCCAAAGCCAAAGCCAAAGCCAAACATCGCACTGACACTGCAACAAATTTCATTGGGCGTAAAATATTTATTTATTTGTGTTTTTGTTTCGTGCTGCTTTTTATGACTCACTTCGAATGCTGGCTGTGGGGCGAGCTGGAGCCAGAGTCAGAGTCAGTGGCTGAGCCAGAGCCAGAGCCAGAGTCCGAGGCAGAGGGCATTTTAGTTGCTGTTTCAAATCGATTGGACAATAAATTAGCATTATGTGGTTACAGGCCGAAGACTGCCCGTCACGTAACAACACTCAATATCGCGGGAATCCAGCTCATTCGCTGAGCTGGCAGCGGGTTCAAAGTTCCCCCTTCCCTTCCACCAGCCACCACGCCGGGGAAGGCCTTTGCCTTATCAGCGGCTGGGGTAGGGCAGTAGGTCTAGCAGTAGGTCAAACCTTCTCCGTAACCGTAAAGCAACAAAATGACTGTCACACTCCAAGCTGCAAGCGGCAAGCGGAAGTGTGCCATGACAAGTTCCTTTGCCCCTTTGCCACCGCCTCGATCAGCTGCATCCGTTCAGCGTAGTTACGAATTTTACTGGAAATATGTATGGATCAGAGCAAGTGTTTTATCTGCCTCACAGGGATCACAGGGATCACGGGCATCAGGGATCATCCGTGTAAGCAGGCTGAACCGCAGTTCAGATATCGAAAGCTCAGCTTCAAGCTGCACAACTATTCAGCAGCAATCCAGTCGCATTCCAGTAGATCTTTGCCCGTGCATCATTCGCCCTCCCACATGATCGACAGAAGTAAGTCAAAATATTACTCATACGCCACCTCAGCCTTCATACACATTAGCCGTTAGGGCTTTGCGCTAGCTCCAGCGACAAGCGGCAGCAGCAGCAGCAGCAACAACGATAACGATTACGATAATAAAGTCGGCCAACAATGGAACACACCTATATCTATAGCTATAGCTATATCTGTACCTATTAAGGTAAATCACACACTGGACCCCGCCAGACCTCGGCAGTTGGGCAGATCAGCACGATAAGCGGAAGATCTACAGCAATGGCAGTCCGTGCCAGGCCAAGCAGTCGGCACAATAATTTAAAAATAGATTTGCCCAATCATGACATTTTTTGGCCATCCGTCCGTGATCGGCTGTGCGTCTTCTCCACACACGTTTGGCCAGGGGCGTGGCGGGGGGGGTGGCATCGCTCGGATAATGAACGGCGATGTCTCCGTCATCGTAGCCGGCACCTTCGCACTCTTAGCCTATGAGTAACGATGAGTACTCAATAACTATTCGATTGATCATGTTTTTGGCACGCGGTGAAATTTAAACCAACCGCAAAAAGGCAACCACTTCTGCTCCCCCCCCCACCACACACCACGCCACGCCAATCAGTTCACTGTTGCTGCTGCTACGAGGGGTCGGGCAGGCAGAGCGTGAACAGAAAAAAAATTCATGAATGAATCCAAGTCGATTGTAGTGGCGGCGGAGTGGAGCGTGAGAGCGAGCAGCGAGCAGCGAGCTTGTCTACGGAGTCGTGTCGTCACTGATTCTCGGCACCGCCGCCGCGTATGAGTAATATTTCTTGTGAAATAACCAAACGGAAATAACTGAAATTCATGACAGGCCGAAGGCATACGTACGTACGTATGTGTGTGTGTGTGTGTGTGTGTGTATTTGTGGGGGTGCAAAAACTTCGGAAGTGAGACGAACTGAGAATGCGAATGCGAATGCGAATTGCACATGTATTGCTTCCTCTGTTTTCACGAGTGAAAGTCATACCGGCCATAGAGCCCATAGAGCCGGCAAATAATTTTTTGTTTATCTGCGAGTGAGAGCGAATAGCAAAGAGCGCAACGACGCTACGCTCTCTACAGCTAGAAGGAGGGGTCTGGCTGCTCTTATCAACAGCTGATCCAAGACATCGAGACACCGGCGATCGATCATGTTCGTGCATGTACATATGTGTCATAGCGTAAGAGAGTGGGAGAGAGCGGTAGAGCGGGAGAGAGCAGCGCCCATTACCCTTCGTGTTGAAATCGAATTGGCCAAAAAAACTCCCCCACATATGCCACTGGCTCTGGATACCCTGTGCTCGCTTCAGCAGCTGTCGCTTTTGGCCTTCTCACGTTTTGATTGCCTTTTTTTGGGCACTCAGAAGTGACTTTTGAGCGCTTTTTATTTCGCAGAGACTGCACCACACACTCATAGCTAACGCCAGCTCACTCACTCACTCACACACACACACACACACACAGAGAGAGAGGAGCATGGAGCATGGAGAGTGTGTGAGAGAGAGAGAGCGACTCGTAGTGACTTCTGGAGCCAGCCAGAGCGAGAGTGGGGCCACTCTCCGCCTCCTCATTAGTATGCTCATAGTAACTGAAGAGTTCAGTTCGCAACACGTCTCCCCGCCCGTCTGCGACACTCTACTGCCGCCGTCTCAGGCGAAAACACACACACACACACACACAGCGCCGCCAACGAGAAAGCCACTCTCGGCATTGGCATCGGCATCGAGGCATCGAGCCATCGAGCCATCGACTTCGACTTCGACATCGAGCCATCGGGCAAGTTCGATCGGATCGCCGGGGAATCAAATCAAATCAAAGCAGGCAGTCAAAGGCAGCGCGTCGACACTTGGCGTGCCATCCACTCGAAGAGTATCTCGCAGATACAGATACAGATCGGAAATTCGGAAATTCGGATATTCGCGGTGCTGTGTGCCGCGTGCCGACTTACCCCCCGCCTCACCGCCTCGAATAATTATAAATACTATTTATTTTTTTTTTTTTTTTGTTGCTTCGGCTTCCATTGTTTTGTTTTGTTTTGTGTGGACTCCGTTTTGCGTTGCATTCTCGAACTTTCGCCACCCCCCCCCCCCAAAAAAAAAACTAAAACCCACCGCCAACAACAACAAAAGTGACAAGATTCAGCCAGGGACACTCCTGCCGAATCTCCTTCACATATTTATGTGTAAATGGTGAGTACTCGAACACAACATTCAGCATTCGCTTAGCGGAAGATTAGAAACTTGCAGAAGGTGCCAAAGGAAAACAAAGACACTCCACAGACACACACTCGCACACTCGCACAGGTCGAAGAGAGCGGAACTTGAGGTGCGTGCCTCGCCTTCTGATAAGTGGTGCAGGTGCAGGTGCAGGTGCAGGCGCAGCTCTGAGTGTGGGTGTGGGTGTGTGTGAAGGGTGACGATGGGTGAGCAGGTGAACGCAGTTAGATAGATGCATGCAGCACAGCAATCAAAGGCCACCATCGAGTGCCAATTCTGTGCTACGTGGTGAAATGACGGAAGTCACGAGGGAAGTCGTCTCCAAAGAGGAAGTCAACGAATATCTCCTGGGTCTGGGCCTGCGTCTGCGTCTGCGTCTGGGCCTGGGTGTCCATTCGTTCGCTCAAGAGAGAGAGAGAGATATAATTACATGTGTGTGTACACTGGTATACAAATGTATATGGATTGAAAGGATTTACAATCAAATTTGTTTGCTGGCTTTGGGTTCATCCATCGATCGCTGTGTTTGATTTAATTATTGTACAAACGTTTTCCCATCAGAAATCAGAAAAAGTCAGAAAAGCAGCAAAGAAACATGTGAAATTAATTTACAAGTTCGGTCGGGCAGGTAGCAGGGGCAGGGGCAGGGGGCTGGGGCTGGGGCAGCGGCAGGGACTGTGGACTGTGGATTTGATTTGGCTTGGTGGGTGGGGGGCGATGCGTCAGTGTACGACGACAACGACTTGACTTGGTCAGGGGACAGGGAACAGCCACGAGATAAAGCCACCAAAAGAGACAGTGTGGGGAGGGGTATGAGATGGGGTGGGGAGGGAGCGTATTTCACAAAAGTTTGCAAAAGAATTGACGACGAAAAAGACGAAAAAGCGAAATCAAGTTCGTTGACCATGTAGCGTAGTGTAGATACCGGCCACTGTCGTATACATATATTTATGACACATACATACATACATACACACATACATGTGTACATATGTACGTGTGTCGATTGGTGGGCCTACCCCACCATCGGCAATGATTCAGCCAGAAAAAAAAAAAGCCAAATGCCGAAATCTTTTTTTAATTTTAAATAATTATGTCAGCCAGATAAAGACAGCAACAACAACAACAATAACAATAACAATAAAAACCAATAGCAATGGCTAGCAGCAACAGCAACAATAAGATAAACAAAGGCAAGCACGCTTCGGGCCCCCAAAACAATTGCGATTGTGCTGGTCTACCAGGGATTCCCCCGAACTAACAATCATGGCTAACGCTCTTTCTCTCTCCCTCTCTCTCTCTCTCACCCACAGACTACAGCTGCCTGCCCGCTCGACCTCAGCAGCAGCAGCAGCGACAGCCGAAAGTGCAAAACGGCCAACACGCGGGAAAGAGTTGGAACGCTCGGGGACAGCAGAAGTCGTCTCCAAAGAATCGGCTCGCTGCTGACGCTCGCCGTGCTCATGTGCCAGCTGCAGCAGTTCGCCCACCCCGGCGGAGGTGGCATCGCAGCCGCCCCAACACCTTCGCCAGCAGCATTACCCCCTCCCAAAGCCACATACCTTGCCACGCCGCCAGACCTGCCAAAGCGCCTCCAGAAGCGCCACAATCCGGGCAATTTTCGACAGCGCTTCCAGCGGGAGCTGAACGGCAGCATCACCCGCTTGGACTGGGAGAACACGTGCGGGGGCAACTGGACGGGACCTGAGGACTGGGTGCGTGCGGCCAAACGCTGCAAAAAGCGCCATTTGGTAAGTTGGAAGATCAAAATTAATACCATCCCCCCTGCACATTGAATATATGTAGGAATAAATATTCTATTTAGTTTTGAGTTTTTCTGCTGCTGCAAACTTATTATGATCTATGTGTGTGTGTGTGCTCTCGCCCCTTTCAGGTTATTCACGCGCTGCAGAACAACACCAGGAGCGAGCTGCGCAGCCTGCGGGCGGAGAACAAGGATACGGCCATCGCCAAGGCCATCGACATCTCGCAGCAGCGGAAGTGGGCGCTGCACAGTGGCACCTACAAGTTTCTGCCGCGGCTCAATGCCAGTAGTCAGCAGGTAAGCCACACAACAAGACTACGATCATCATCCACTGTTGCCAACTGGGGTGTAGTCATAGAAGGGGGGGCGGAGGGTTGGGGGAATGGGGCTGAATGGGGTGCCGAAGAAGTGGTCACGTGAAAGCGGCCATTTCCCCCTGGCCAGCGGCAATTCCCGTCCATCCGTCCATCCGTGCGTGCGTGCGTGCGTAGGTGCAAACAGATCGTCACAAGTTCGAGCGCGCTGCTGCTCGATCATATGAGTGGAAATGAGTGGAATAATCGTGCGAAAGCTTCGCATGAACGGAACGGGCGAGGGCCTCTCCAGCAGTTCGCTGTGCGCCCCATGGATTTCCATTTGAGAACTTCACACCTGTTCTTTCCCACAACTTCCCACTTTGGTCCACAAGTCGCACACCTCGTTCAGCATTCAAGCCCCGCCACGATTGACTCCGGCACGCCCCATTAGCTACCGATTTGCATTGGCAAACAAAAACAGCACGACACACCGATTCACCGAACCATGGGCAAAAAAAAAAACAAGAAAAAAAAAAAACAGTCCGAGCCATAACCACATTAAGATTAAGAGCAAATTGACGGAGTGCGCGCGATTACGACGATTGTTTATATGGCTTTTGGTTGTATAAACAAATCGGTCCTGTCCGCCACCCGTGCACCACGAATATACACACATACATATGTACACGCAATATGTACATGTATGTATGTATGTACCATCCAATGCGGCCTTGATGAAGCGATCGCTCCTCACGTTTTATTAGAGCTCCCGAATCGAACCGAACCAAAGCGAAGCGAACCGAACCGAACTGTGTGCTGTGCGACTGGAGACGGGACTGAGGCTGCGACTGGGGTTGGGGACTGGGGATGTGGGGCTCATTGCGAAGCGACTAATTATTTGCATAAACAAATGAAATACGAAATAAGGCGGCATATCTTATTTAAACTTTTGTTAAGTCAACAACAAACAAACAAACTTCAGCACAAAGACCAGTACAAATCCAAAAGTGAATTTTTATGTTAAAGAAAATGTACAAAAATCAGTAAGTTCTGCGCCCCAAAGAGTAAGGGAAATTTTTAAGAATTAGCTGCTAGAGTAATCAAGAGCCGAAGGAATTTCCCCCCCACTCATTGTTTAGTAGGTAAAAAAGGAAATGCTTCCAGCGATAAGACTGTGAATAATAATTATACACAGGACCTATGGGGCATTCCAACACTATGGAGCCGGCCCCGTCATCACAAGTCGGAGAACTGCCAGCTCCCAAGGAAGGGCTGGGCAGAGCGGCAGGCAGAGGTCTGGGCTGGGCTGGGCTGGGCTGGGCTGGGCAACGGGGCTATCGATTAATGTGCTAATTTTGGAGGTGCAAGACGGAATTATCTGCAGAGAACCAGATAAGCGCGGTTCGCTCTGCCAGATCCATTCAGATTCCGATTTTTTACTTGAACTTCTGTCTACTGAACTTTGTCTTTGTCTCGCGGGGGAGCGAAAAAAGCTGCAGGGTTCAGGGTGCCAAAAAGCGACTCACTCATTGTCGCAAAGTTCACGTCTAAACTTAGCCGACAGCCTCACTCTCTTCATTCATTGATTCATCCATCCAATCGACTCATTCATTCATTTGCAGCTATGAGGCTGGGGCTGGGGCTGTGACTGGGGCTGGGGCTGTGGCTGGGGCTTGGCTTTCGCTGAAATTTCTCGATTGTCGTCACGCAAAAGGGAAAAATACCACAAATCTGTGCGACTTTAGCCGACTTGGGTAAATAATTAGCCAGAATATTCAACTATGCACAATTGGCCATTGGCAACCAACTAACTACGTCAATGACGACGGTGAGGCCGCCGCCCGATTGTGCCGACTAATTGTTGACAGTGGCGGCGGCGGCGGCGGCGATCCCCCACCAAAGTCAAAGTCAAGGCAAAAGCCCAGGCCCAGGCCAAAGCCAAAGCCGAACACGAAACGAAACGAAACCAAACGGAACGGAATCCGAAACGAAACGATGACGAAGGTGTCAAAACTGATTGCAGAACTCTATTTATAGGCACCCTGGCCCAGTGCCAGTGCCTGTTCCCCCCCATTGCTGGCACTGCTGGGAAAATACTCGCACTCCCGCCGTAATACGAGCATGAGTCTTATGTTACTTACTGTATGCAGATATTACCAAGAAACGAACGGCGTCGGCGTCGGCGGCGGCCTTTTGACGTCACAAAAAGCAGCGCGCGCGACTCGACTCACAGATATATTCGCACATATTCCACTGATAGCAGAGCAGAGCAGAGCAGCGCTCAGGGGGGAGGTAACGAGGGGAGCTAACGATGATATGTTTGAGAAGTTTTCAATGCTCATTTACTCATTTACTGTAAATAACACACTCAAACAGGCAGCGCAGCGCAGCGCAGGGCAGGCCAGTGTGTGTGTGTGTGTGTGTGTGTGTGTGTGATAGAGGAAGAGCGTGAGGTGGAAAGCGGGAGGGGCGGGAGAGCAACACCGAACTCGAGCTGTGATTCATGCCAGCGAAGGCCAGTCGTGTGGATTCCCCGAAACGCGAGGCGAGCACATGAATGAAAACGAACGAGACGGACGCCACTCCACTCGAGCCGACGCGTCGGCGAACAACAACAGTTAGACGACAGCCAGCGCGCGCGCTGCCTGAGAGCGAAGTTAGTTAGGCGAGCGAACAGCACAGAGCGGAGAGCACAGAGCACAGAGCGCAGAGCGGAGAGCGAACACTTTTCACTTTCAGCTGATTAGAAGATATGATATTGCCAGCCAGCCAGCTACCTGCGCCTGCGGTCCGCCAGCAGCAGCGACGCCAGCTTCAGCGGAAGCAGCGCCGCTGGCACAGTTCAATCAACCCCAAAGCTTTTATCAGGGATGCCTGTCATAGGGGGGCGGAGGGTTGTGCTATACTAGTGCTGTTAAATGATAGAGATATAATATAGCTGTATAAGAGATGTTCCCACCCAACCTAACCCCCCTCTCTCTCTGCGTCTCTTCTCTTGCAGCTCAATCTACGCCACGTGCACCGGGATTTGCAGTTCTACGTTGGGGCCTTCAGCTACCTGCGCCACTCGCAGCTCCACTGGGACTACTCCAACACACAGACGGAGAGCGCCATGTCCGCCGAACTGGGGCGCCTGCGCAAGAGTGCCCGCCACGTACTTTGCAGTGTGGAGGTGGCCATCAATGCCACCAATCGTCTGTATGCCGGCAAGGGCCAGAAGAACAGTCGCCGGGCCGTGCCCCTCCTGCGCAGTAAGATCTTGAGTCGAGAGCTAATGGAGAAACGCCTGCAGCAGTTCAAGACGCCGCTCGTCCAGCTGCACCACGAGGCGGCACTGGCGGCCCGCGGCCTGCCCGCCGAGCAGCCCACCCAGTCCGTGCAGCTTGCCGTCGACGCGCGCTTCGTCAAGTTCGAGTACGTGCAGTACCTGAACAGTGCCTGGAAGATCCTGGCCAGGCAGCGCAAGCAGTTATGCCAGACGAAGAAACAGAGTCCGAAACAAGGCCCCGCCCCCGGGCGCAGGCACCCCAACACAGTTCGGGACAGGACACAATCGAATTGAAGACCAAAGGCAGGAGAGAGCAGACAGAAAAGCAAAGAAGAAGAAAACCAGGGAAAGACAGACAGAAAGAAAGAGAGAGCAACAAGAGAAACCTCCGCTCCGTAACGAGGCTCATTCCACCACCCCAAGACATTGATATTTATTAACCATTCCCTATTTATTGAATCAAAGTCACGAATCACCCAGTCACCAGTCACCAGTCACAAGTCACGAATCACAAAGGATCCAGTCGCAGGCTATGAAAATCTTGAATAGAAAAAAAAAACCCAAGTCCCTCGATCAAACAGAGACAACAACCGTGGAGAATAATATATGTACCTCCCCCTCCTCCTTTACCACCTAAGATTCTACGTACACACATATACATATACACATATATTAATATTATATCTAGATATAGAAGATAAATGTATTTTTTTTTTGTATTTAAATTTTTGTTTTTTGTGTAGATGTAAGCCTTATTGTATTATTTATTATGACAACTCGCCAAGATCTGCCACACATTGTGCTAGATCCTAAGATCACTTTTAATCGATTACCAACCGTTTCCTTGTATTACGATGCTGTGATAATAGATGATAAAGCTCCACCATTCCACCAACCGAATCCATGCACGCAATTACCAACTTATGTATTGTATTGTATTGTATTGTATTGTATTTAACACAAATCAAAGCTATGAAATCCAACGAAACTTGTATATCTCCCCTCAATATACGGACTAAATAACCCACAAATTTATAGGCTATTATAGGTATAGGATAGGATTTTTTTTATGAATCATATTCAAATACAACAAAAAAAAAACAAATTGAAAGTACAAAAATCGTGGTAGTTTTCCTGGGCGGTTACATTTCCCTCTTGCGACGTGTCGCCCTGTGTGGCCCGCCCGCCCCTTCATCCAGCTAATTCTCTGGCGCCATATCAATTACAGCGCACACAAAGTAGGGGAAGTCCGTAATCCATTCCCAGCACATTGCTCATACGCCGTGGAGCTGGGAGCTGGGCCCAGCCCTGCCCTGGGACCTATTCCCTCTCCGTTTTGCTATCGGTCTCAGCGAAAGAGAGACATAAAAGTGTCCAAACTATTTTCTTTTACGATCATCTTGCCACTGCGACGGCTTCACTTGCAGTTGCAGTCGCAGTCACAGCCGAAGAACTGAAAAATCGCAGCTTTTATATACTTGTTCAAATATTTTATGAGACATATAATAACTCTTCGGCGTGGGTCATTCTACCTCACCTTTGCCTTGCCCACAGCCTACAGCCTACAGCTACAGACAAAAAGAGCCTCAACCGCACACAAAACGACATTTTACGACAAGAAAATGTTGTTGTCGCTGCTCTTGATCCCTCACCACTCCTCACTCCTCACAAGTACCTGTCCCTGCTCCTATTCTCATTCTCATTCTCATTCCCATTCTCCATCTCCATTTAAAGATCCAGTCCTTATCGCCAGGCAGGGATCTACTTGCGCACCTTCACTCTACTCTTGGCTCTCGGCTCTCGGCTCTCAGCTCTGGATATGATTTCTTTTCTCCTTCTGCTGCTGCGGCTGCTGGTGCTGCTGGTGCTGCTGGAGCTGCTGACTGCGTCGCGATTTCCCCGAGTACCCGAATCGGGCTTATCGCACACAATCAGCAATTGTCATTAATTTCGGACTATGTGTACGTGCTCCGATTTGTCTGCTCAGCGCTTATTTTCCGTGTTCTTCCCCAGTGACTGATTCAACAATTTAATATGCCACAGATAGGGAGACAGAGACAAAGACAGAGGGAGATAGAGAGAGACAGAGAGAGAGAGAGAGAGAGAGAGTCATTCTCAGCCTGGGCCCCCATTAAAGATGGTTATCGCCGTGATTTTATTGTGTCCTCTCCCTGCTGCAGCCTCTCTTGCTCTCTGATCTCTGCCCTGATATTGGCCAGGTCCGAGGCGCACATGCAACTATGCGCGATCCCATTGATGGCCAGCCATCTCACTCGCTCCTGCGACACTTTGCATGCAGCCAGCGTGCACTTGGTAGCCCCTTCTCGTTCGCTCCTTTGTGCAAGCAACCCTTCCGTCTGGTCTGATCTGGTCTGGTCTGTTGGCTGCCCCATTCAGGTGCACGTAGCGCGCATCTATCTTCAGTTTTGATAGGTTTTTATTGGCCTGACCTTTATTAAATTGAAAATTATGTCTTTCTATGAGAAATGTTGAAATGCCTTCAACCCCCACCCCAAAACCCCTCTTTCGCTCACCTTCCAATCCGGCCATATTAATTCTGGGGTGGCTTTCATTTCATTTGGCTTTATATCAAACATTTTATTTTATTTTTTAAGAAATAAAAAAACCCTCACAATATTATTATACGTAAACATTGCTTAAAGAATGTATTTTTTTTTTTAAGAATTTTGTATGATATGATAATGTTTGATATTTGGCTTTAAACTATGCTCTCTCTCTCTCTCTCTCTCTCTGCATCTCTGATATAATTACCCTGCTGGGTATGCCACAAGTCGAGGCTGTTCGTTGCGACTCAGACACAGACCCGGACCCGGACCCGGACCCTGCCCCACCTGTCTGTCTCCTGCTGAATGAACTTTTGCGCCTGCTTCTGATCTAATCTAAATGTTTCCCAGTTCAGTGTTTCAGTGTTCAGCTCTGCTCATGGCGGCGCGGCACGGCGTGGCCGGTCACGTGCAGGCAACTGTCCCCAAACCAAACCAAACCAAACCAAAGAACTGTTTTTCGGTTCTCTGCTCGCTCCCGGCCCCACCCCGGCCCGGTCCGGCCCGGCCCGGCCATGGTCCCAGTCTAACTCGCCGACAATTAATTTAAAATATCTTATTTCATTTATGTTTTTCTTGTTTTCCCTCGGAAGACAAAACAAAAACATTCGTTTTTGTTATATTTAACTTGTATTTATCGTGTGTATTTTTGAGTTATGTTTTCCGCTGCAGATTTCTTCAGATAATGGCGTTACATTTATGTTCCCCAAGTTTTCCCAAAAGAAAAACGAACAAAAAAAAAAACTGTCAAAGAGCGGCGGCCAGAGGCGGCCAGAGGTAGGGCAATGAGCATGAGCATGAGCTGGCCGCCCACCAAGGAGGAGGTGTTTCGGTGTGTGGTACCCCAGCATCATCAGCATAGCATCATCATCATCATCATCATCATCATAGCGATTGCAAAACCATTTCGTCTTCGCTTCTGTTGGAGTTTTTTTTTTTGATTTGGACTCTCCATTTCTTTCCGATTCTCCCACGGAGCTGAAACTGCTGGCTCAGCCATCGCCACAAGCAGCTTATGGGACTCAAACCCCTCCCCCCAAGGGCGGTGGATGGCTCTCCACTTAGGTGTTAAAATCTGTGTGTCGGTTCTTGCCCAAGCCTCAAGTCTCAGCAGTTTCTCCATTCACGGAATCGGGCACTCTATTTTCTGCTGCTTCTGCAGCTGCTGGCTGTCGCTGCCCCACCTCTCTTGGAGCTGCTCTCAGGGAACAGAATATAATTGTTGGGATGCAAAGTCCGAGCTTGATCTCCAACTCGATCTCTCACTCGATTTGCTGACGCCAACAAAACGGCAATGCATCGAAACTGGAGAGATGAAATTTCCAGGGAAATCAAAAACCCAACAAGCCCCACCACCCACACACATACACACATACATCCTTTCCATTACCTCTGCATTATGGGGATTTAGAGCCAGAGCCTCCCATATTGAGCCATTCATTAAACATCTTACCAGGGTGCCAGGGTCCTATTGGCCTGGAATGCTGGACCGAAGCCGGCAAGGACCCGTCAGAGCGGCGCCTTGACCCAAATAAATTACGCTCACTTAACAATGAGCCAGCCTTTGTGCCCCGGAATTTGGCGTTTTGCCGCACCTTTCTCCCTCATCTCATCCCATTCCATCCCATTCCATTCCATTTGGCAGCGTTTTCCGCTTAATAAGGTCAAAAGGTGTTTTCAATTTCCAAAATGGGAATCAATTGTGCTGGGAAAAACTGCACTCGAACTGCACTCAAAACAAAAAGTGACACAAATTATGAAAGAGTCCACAAAGGTCCCTCCGCAGCAGATAGATGAAAGGTGAGGCGACGCGCCGCGCCCACTTTACAATGCTCAACAAATGAGGAACGACAATTGCATTTGATTCTGCAGAACAAAAGGGATACTGGGGATGGGAGTGCACATATACTACATACTACATGCTACATATATGTTATTCGGTTTATGGTTTATGGTATATGAAGTGGCTGTGGAGAGGGGCAGCTGGCCAGGACAATGAAGTGATCAGGGCCAGAACCAGAACCAGAACCTGGACACAGGACAATGGGCAAGCGTTTTTAATTGTCAATGAATTCTGTTGCAACGGCAACGGCAGCGGCAACTCTTGACCGTTTGCGGCCATTTGGGATACACAGTTGCCCTACAATTCTACGCTGTCGCCCCTCCTCCGGCGGCTGTGCGAAAAAAAGGTGGACACCCACCCAGGTGAGAAGTCCACACCGAATCACACAATACGAGCAGCGCATCCGACTGCAGTACGGCTTCTGGGTCTTCTGGGTCTTCTGGGGTCCTAGTGTGCACGACAATGGAATCGTTATAATTAATGGCCAGCTTGGCGCCAGACTTTTGGAACACGGACTGCAGAGGGAGAGGGATCCGTCGGAATGCAGGAGGCAGAAGAAGAGAGCCTGCCGCTCTACAAGCTACAAGACAGAAAAAAAAAACAGACTAAACATCGGAAGAAAGAAACTTTGTATCTGATTCCAGCAGCAGCGGCAGCAGCAGCAGCAGCAGAGTATTTTGCTGGATTTGATATTTGAACGTGTGCCTGCTATATCCTTAGCAAACAGAGGGGCGGGGGGCTCATATCAGGGCCCAGGATCGGGGAGGCAAACAGACAAACCAGAACAGGGGAAGGAGAAGCAAGTCAATCAGTCAAACATGACGGCAATCACTCAATGGGCACACACACGTAGCAGCGGCAGCGGCAGGGGTGAGGGGTGGGGGTAGGGGGTAGGGGTGAGAGTCTCCCTGGAGAGGACGTTGGAGAGAGAGAGGGAGAGGGAATCACAAGTGGCCCGACAAATATTGACCGAACCCCTTTATGTCGCAACAAGGACCCCAAGAGCCAAGAGCCAACAGCCAACAGCCAAGAACTTCACAAAGGAGTGTGACGGACAAATATTTGAATATAGACTTTACGCGCGAGATTATGTTTATGTGCCCAAGCCCCCTGCCCCTGCCCCTGCCCCTGCCCCTGCCCATTGAGAACCGCTCCTTATCGATCGGAACCGATCTAAACCGATCCGAACAATGGAGAATGCTGCGGCATATGGCTGGCATATTGTAAACTGATATATAGAAGTCTGCCCAGTGCCC